CATGGGGCTCTTTAGCCTGGAAAAGCGCAGGCTCAGGGGTGACCTGATGGCCACCTATAAGTTTATCAGGGGTGACCACCAGTATCTGAGGGAACATTTGTTCACCAGAGCGCCCCAAGGGATGATGAGGTCGAATGGTCATAAACTACTACAAGACTGTCTCAGGCTGGACATAAGGAAGAATTTCTTTACTGTCCGAGCCCCCAAGGTCTGGAACAGCCTGCCATCGGAGGTGGTTCAAGCACCTACATTGAACACCTTCAAGAGCAAATTGGATGCTTATCTTGCTGGGATCCTATGACCCCAGCTGACTTCCTGCCCTTTGGGCGGGGGGCTGGACTCAATGATCTTCTGAGGTCCCTTCCAGCCCTAATGTCTATGAGATCTATGAAATATTTTAATTGATCACAATCACTGGAAAGACATCAAGATTCAGATCTACAACATGATCCCACTCTCCTCTATGGATGTGAAATGTGGGTGACCTACCATTGTCATCTCAAGAGTGTAGAAGGGTATCATGAACAATGCCTCCCAAAAAGCCTCTGCATCAAGTCAAGTGGGAAGATTTCCACAAATGCCAGCATCCTTGCTGAAATCAATATTCCCAGCCTTAAGTCGGTGATCCTCCAGCACCAGCTTTGCTGGTCTGGACGTTGTGTGCAGATGCCTGAGCCTCGATTTGCAAAATAAGTGCTCTATTTACTGCTTTGCGGCAGCTTGATATCTAGTGGCAGCCACAGGAAATGCTACATGCGCACATTGAAGGCATACCTCAAGAAAGTGGATGATGACATCAAGAGCTGAGAGGAACAGGCTGATAACTGCCAATGGCACCACAGCCTCAATTAAATGGCAGTCCACTTTGCAGTAAAGCACCTTGGCCTCAAAACAGAGGAGAGAGGAGGAAGGAGGAGAAAAATCCCAGTTTACGGCCTACTTTCACCTGCAGAAAGACCTGCAACTTCTGCAGACAGATGTGTGGCTCAAGGATTGGACTCTTAAGTCACCTCAAGACCCATCAATGAGCCCTGGTAGAGATCATCTTAGAATCAATGGATTGCTGATGACATCATGCAGTAGATTGGGAAGTGGAAAGGCAACTCAGTGGCAGTGGCACAGCAAGGAGCAGAAAACAGCTGTGATGAGGCAGGGGGCACAGGGACTGGAGCAGGAAGCAGAACAGCAGATTGGGCAGGGGAAGGGGATCAGAGTGGCAAACGGGGATGGTACAGGGTTAATATGTGTCATACCTGCTAAAAAGGTTGGCTCCCACTGCCCTAATATATGTGCTATATACTACTCACTAAGCCTGGATTAGCAAGAAGCATAATAGTCAAGCTGTTCCTGCTTAATAAAAGCAGAAAAGATTAAAAAAGGAAGGCAGTTCAGTGTCTAAATAGCAGGCACCTAAAATCTCCCTCAACACATTCTCTGACTTTTTACCCCTATGCATTGATTTTTGATTATTCCCAGATCATAAACGACAGCAATTCCTAAGGTTATATCTTTGCTCACAGGCAGTCTCCACTCTCAGTTGTACTTAGATGCAATAACTTTGTGCACCATTCTGCCTGCTGCAGATGGGTTCTTTGGATCAAGACCTTACCTCATATGCTTTGTGAAATTTTTAAGGATGCGTAACAACTACAAAAGACAAAAGGAGGCAGATCTGGAAACTTCATTAGCTATGTCAGCAAGTTGGCTGCAAGTAAAACAAAAGCTGGTTTGGTATAGTCTAAGAACAGAAGATTAACCAACAGATGATGTTCAGCCTTAGTGATCTTTTATGTGGAAAAGATCATAGTTTATTTTCTAATGGGAAAAGACTGGGTAGCCTGCAGGCTTTTGAATTAACAACAGCAGTTGACTAAGTAGTGTAATTTAGAGCACTTTCTAATTGTGTTTTTTCATTTCCCTGCTGAGATAATCACAATTAACAACTGATTGCACAGAATATATTTGGCAGTTAATATGGAAGAACAAGATCAGAATGAGTTCAGAGTGGCTGTGGCCTGAGTTCAAAGTCCCAGGCATTCTGAGATTCTTTAGCCATGCTCATGTTGCATGGTGGGTGGGTGGGTGGATGTTCCCTTCACATCCAAAATAGGATTTTTTTCTTCCCCTTTTTGTTCTTAAACTTTACAGAAGAGATGTTAATCCAGCCCAAGGAAGTGAGGTGAGTCATCTAGCCCACAAGACTTCTAGTGGTCCAGAAAACCTACCTTCAGATCTGAACAGCATGGCCCTAAATTGTGTTGGTGGGTCCAGCACCCAAGGATGCTGAGCACCAGAGAAAGTGATGGGGTGGGGAGTGGGAATGGAAGAAGGGTGGTCAGTCTAACCTGTTATGGGGACTCAATGACCCTGCTGCTCCTTCCATGTCACTTCACCAGCTCCTACAACCTCCTGATGTGGCAAAGACTGGGGGTGCCATTCCAGTGCCCCTCCTAAGTGAGCTCCTAGAGCTGGGGACCCTCACCCCACTCCCCAGGTTATGTTACTGACTCTGTGCACTACTATAATAACTATGAGAAATATACAAGGAGGGGGGAAAGGAGCACTTCTGAGGGCAAACTCTCCAACACTTGCTACTGGCCATGTCATAAAAGAAATGTAGGACTGTTGTTCTAATCTGTCATGAGAATGCCCCTTAACTTCTGAGATGGGCATGCAAAGGTATGTCTGCATCATATGTATATGATTCTCTTCATCCTGGTCCAGCGCTAAAAATGCTGGTGCTTAGAGGGGTTTTTTTCAGTGTACAACATCACTACTTCATTGTGAGAACTCTTGCACTGAGCAGGCAGACTCCAGTGACTTAAGTTTTAAGCATACCTAATATCATCTGCACTATATATTAAACTGCATCATAATTTCCAAGTGATGGCTCTTAATATAAAAGACTATTTTGCAGAATGGGTGTAGATATTGAGATATATCATCAAATGTACTCACATGTACCAAAAAATAAAAAAATCCAGAAAACACTGAAAACATATGTTCCCTCTAGGGAATGTAGTACAACTGCAATCCTAATTCATTTTCATCAGCCTGGCCTGGCTTGCTAGCTTTCCATGATTCTACTATGAAGGAATGTGCTATATTGTCAGATTCTGTAAAAAAAAGAAGAAAGCTTTGACACCTCTAACGTCCTTGGGACATTTCCTCATATTTCCTACCCTGGACTTTGGACCATCCAAAGAAGGGTCTGCTTCAGAGAAGCCTTTAGACTTCACAGTGAGCCTCATACACTGTGACATGATTATGATAACTTAGTAGGTGCCAGGTGGATACTCAAGCAGTACAGACACACAGTAAAGCTGGCTAGGAAACTAGGTTTCACTTCCTCAAAAGTGGTGATGTTTTGGAAATTTTTTCATTTTAGTCAGGATGAAAAGCCAAAACCATTGTTTCTACTACAGGAATATTTCCATGTTTCTTAAATGACATATGCTACTCCGGATGATTGTTAATCTGCAACCTGACCTACTGCTAAGAAGCAAGAGTTTGAGGGTCTTGGGAGCCAGGGTTCACAGGGTTTCTAGAAATTTTGTTCCATGATGGCACCTCAATGAAGTGACAGGAAATTGAAAGCCCTGGAAACCAACCTACCTCTTACATTGGCTGACCTGGAACCAGGGAGCCTGGAACCACAGTTTTCCCAAAGTTTACCAGTAGGGAGAAGCCCAAAAGCCAGCTTCCAAGAAGTCAGACAGATGGTTCAACAAGCAAAAGCCAGGCATGTTTCTTGTGGATGGTTTGATTTAATGAATCAGCATTTTCCTGTGGAAAAAACACTCCATTGGAAAACTTTCAAAAAGCTGAACTTTTTACAGAATTTTTCTTTTTTTTCCCTATATCAAGGCAACACAGGAACCTATAAGCCTTATATATAGGAATATATACCTTAAATACATAATATATATAAATACATATATATGAATATGTACCTTGTATATAAAAATATATACAGGAATGTTATATATTTGGGTCCCTGTCCTAAAAACCTGGTGGTTCTGAGCCCTTGTTATCCAGCCATAACTCCCTTGCTCTGTCCTCCTGTCGAGTACCCTGGAATTATAAGAAGATGTCATTATGCTTCTGGTAAACCCTAAGGACACTTGTCCGCAGTATCGGCTTTTTCTAGCTTAAGATATTCCTAGCAGAGTTGTGTGAAACAGAACCATTCCATTTTGACTTGCGTTTTAACGTTTTGATGGAACAGCATTTCATTTTGAATTTCATTTTGATTTGAAATCGATGTTCCATTTTGTTTTGTTGAAACAGTTTCGCTGTTTTGACTCTCTTTCTATGTTTCACCCATAGGCTATAATGGAGAAGCTCAAAACAGCCTATAACTTTATCATTTCCAGCCTGATTTAGATTAACCTTGCAGGAACGGTAGCCCCTTCTAAGGGCATGAAGTCTGCCAAGTTTCAGGGAGATAAGTGCAGCCGTTTCAGGGAAACTGCACCTCAAAGTTTTGAAAGCAAAATTCATGTCAC